GCGATCCAGGGCTTCAGGAGCTGCAACTGAGGCAGTGAGGAACAGCCCGGAGTCGCCGGGGCCAGAGCTTCTTGGCCAGCCACCGGAGGGAGCCGCTCAGCCGGGGGGGCTGGACTGGGCTGCGCCTCCACGCCCCCCCCCGCAATCCCAGCTTACCTGCTGCCTGCCTGCCTGTTTCAGGCTTCCCACGAACATTTGATTCGCGGGAAGCTGGGGAGGGGGAGGAACAGGGGGCAGAGCATTCAGAGGAGGGGGCGGAGTTGGGGTGGGGACTTTGGGGAAGGGGTGGAGTTGGGCCGGGGCCGGGGCAGGGAATGGGCGGAGTTGGGGTGGGGCTGGGGCTCCTTGGAGTGTCCTCTTTTTCCAGGACTGCAATATGGTAACCCTAAGTAATAAATGAGTAGGTATCACTAGAAATCTAAAATGGCGACAGCAATGTTTTTACATTAGAAAAATCAAAATGGAGGACTCAGATCAAATTGACCAATAGCAGACAGGCGACTAGGGTGAAATAAAGTTAAATAGGGTAAGGCTGAGTTCACTCCAGAATACTTGAAGGGAGGGGTCAGGAGCAGGATCTCAACTAGGTTCAGCTAGTTCATGACAGGTAGAGCTGATTGGCTAAGCAGGTATTGCCCCACTGGGAGGATCTATGCTAATAGCTGGAATTGAGAAAGCAGCCAATCAGAGAAGGCCAAAAATTGTATATAAGGCAGAGAGTTGGCTGGCTTTTGTGTGGGTGTGTGAGTGGAGCAGAAGAAGCACAGCAGAGAGCGGGCTACCCCCAGAGACAGAGCAGAAGGAACATAGATGGTACAGAGGGATTCTAGAAGGAGAGTAAGTATAATTCCTTCTTAATTATAAGGAATGCATGGGTATGATTGTAAATAAAGCTGGATGCCTGCATCTGAATGAATTTTACCCCACCCATTCTATGATTGCCTGATCACCACACATAGAATGTTATTATTTAGTAATGTTCTTTAAGGTGTAATGTTGCTTTATACCTATTGTGATAGACCCAGGCCAGTTGGGTATAGCAGAAGGCAGATATACTGGCCACTGGATTAATGGTTTTCTGATCCCTGACTGACCAGAACAGGGGCTGCTCTAGGCTAATGAGAACACCTGACTCCAATTAACCTGCAAAGAGTCAGGTGAGGCCATTAAGCTAATGTGACCACCTGACTCTAATTAAGGCTCTGCTGATACTATAAAAAGGGCTCACTCCAGTCAGGCAGAGGAGAGGAAGTGCGGCTGAAGGGCTGGTTAATGAAGACACCCTCAAGTTATTGATAAGGGAGCCCTAAGATAAAGGAGAGCTGTGGGGAAGTGGCCCAGGGAAATGTAGCAACTCTGGCAGTGAAAGGTTGGCTGCCAACAGCTGCTACCATTAGGGTCCCTGGGCCGGAACCCAAAGTAGAGGGTGGGCCCGGGTTCCCCCCAACCCACCACTACACGAACACCTCCTGGGAGGGGAAGTCAGGTCCCTGTCAGGACAGGAGGCTAAACTGTTCTAAAACAAGCCCTAGGGACAACAGAGACTGTGGGAATTCTCTCTCCAACCTCCTTGCTGGCTGATGATGAAAAGGGCTCAGTAGACTGTAACCCTGGCCCTAGAGAGAGAAGGGCTACGTGGAGGGTCACAGAGAGCCACTGAGGCTAGCATATACCGCCTAGAAGCGCAGGACCCACAGGGACAAGGTCAGAGCTCTGCCACACTATGTATATGGGATCTGTGTGTTACATTGTAATAGGTTTAATATTATATTACAGCATTGTATTAAGGCTTGATACATATGTATAAGGGGTCAATGTGTACTGTATCATGCAACATTGTATGTGCTATATGGTTTGTGTAGTCTATTGCGTCGGCTTAGTATATGATTGCATAACACAATTGCATTACATTTAGAAATGTTATGTATTGCAGTGTATTCTTTCTTGATTATTAAGTGTATTGTAACTGATTAGTTCCTTTAAAATAAATATTTTGTTTTTGAAGAATTACTGCTTGAGTGCCAATCCTTTGAGCAGAAGGCTGTATATGTATCCTCTCACAGTCTGTTCTGGGGAGCCCTTTGAGGATCAGAGACAAACTCCCTGGTAAAACCCTAGCAATTCCTCTAGGGCGGGCCACCTCCTGTTACCCACTTCAGTGGGCCAAATTAACAATTGGTTTACAATTATAGGCAGGCAATTATTAGGGTGCCTTGGGTCCAAATTTTGGGGTAACATCATTTCACACATGAAGCCACAAACAATTGACAATCACCTTTAGTCATTACCAGCCTGGCCTGGACTTGTCATGTTACAGAATTATTATTTTTTTTTTAGGTTTTGATATTTTAAACTAAGCTGCATGTTGATATTTTTAGTGAAGCAGTAGTAAAACATCAGGCCATGTGGCAGAATCAGGAATATTTTAGAAGTTGTGTAATTCTCTTAATACAAACAATATACAAGTAATGTAGAACTTACTCTGGATAAAAAGACACACTGAACAGGATCTGAGTTCAACCACTTCTCACTGAAAACTGAATTGTTCTCTAATAGAAAAACAGCCATTTGCTTTTGTGGGCAGTAAAACCTAGAGGCCCTGACCCTACAACCACATGGAGACATAGGCACCAACTTTCTCAGGGGCCAGTGGGTGCCCCTGGCCACTGGCCCTGCCCCAACTCCACCCTTTCTCTGCCCCTGGCCCACCCCCCATTCCATCCCCAAAGTCCCTGCCCTAACTCCACCCCCTCCCTGCCCCTATTGGATCCCTTCCCCAAATCCCTGCCCTGGCCCCGCCTCTTCCCCTCAGCGCACTGCATTCCCTCTCCTCCCTCCCTCCCTGACCCGCAAATCAGCTTTTTCACAGCGCAAGCACTGGGAGGAGGGGGGAGAAGCAGGATGCGGCAGTGTGCTCGCGGAGGAGGTGGAAGCGGAGGTGAGCTGGGGCTGTGGGGCAGAGCTGCCGGTGGGTGCTGAGCACCCACCAATTTTTTTCCGTGGGTGCTCCAGCCCTGGAGCACCCATGGAGTTGGCGCCTATGCATGGAGACCCATTGACAGTCCACCCCATTCATTGTAAATTCCAGGAGCCAAGCCTAATTGCCCAATCCTGCAGAACTTTACACATATAAACCAGGATCAGGTACTATTTTCTGTTTTAAATTTAGAAGCTATTAGAAATTTGGGCCCAGATCCTGCAAGATGCTTTGCTCACATTGAGCTATTTGCAAGAGTGGAGCCATAGTGAAGCATTTCAGAGTCAAATGCCAGAGCTAAACATGTTGTATCATCCATATATTCAAGCTAGGTGGATGTAAATCTGTGCAGTGTTATAGCTCCATTCTCTTCAGGTTGCTTTTCAAGTGTTATGGCACCTGCTAAATCTGAATAATTAAATAACCCACCTGGTTACATGGGAGTACAGTTGAAAGCAAATGAATAGACTGAGAGAATAGTTTTCATTGCACAGGGGATCTACTGCACTGTTGCTTCCAGCTTTGAACGGGGAAATAAATAGTTACGAAGATAAGGAGTGGATGGTGTTTGACCTGTGAAGAGATTTTCTTCCTTCTCCATAATTCCTGATTGGTTTAGATGCTTTAATATCATATTGTTTATATTCTTAAGATCTTCTCTGTTCTTCCTTTCAAATGCTAGTCTGCTTGTCACTTCATCCATCTTGTTGCCAGTGTGAACTTTAAAAGGAAAGGACATTATGTTAAACTGGCAACATTTAAACCAAGTGGATCATTGTCACTTGGTGCATCCCTGTGGGAAACTGAATGGGAAATTATTCTGCTCAGAGACATAACAACATGATAGCAAGTTCAGAAGCTTAGTTGGAAAAGGTTGTGTGTGTGAAGTTATGGTTTGGCTGAATTCTTTTACAATCGATTTTGTTTTTCATTCTGGTGTAATATAATGCAATAAAACATACTGCTTAAGAGTCAGCATATACAGTCTTCAGGTGGGCAACCCTCTCATTACCATCCATAGATTTGCTTATTTAAGGGTTGTAAGATTTATCCCTATGTCTGGACACAACACATTCATACGTCCCTTTGGGCACAATTCCTAAATAAATCACAGAGACTTAGGATTAGAACCAGAACCTTTCATTTCCCAAAACATAGGCCTCTACCATCTGAGTTAAAAGAGAACTCCTACTATTAATAGCCTCTCATCCTCTCTGTGGAACACTAAAGAATGATATCACTCGTTTATTTTTCTATATCTATCAAGCCCAGTACATTATGTACTTGGGCCTTATCTAATTAGACAAAACTTTCCCCAAGGTTCTGAGTTTGATAGGAGCTTAAATCCAACAGCAGGGTGCCAATCCTTGATGACTCTGTCTGCGGATTACAGACATAACGCTAGATAAACCTCATGGCTGGGAGAAAAACCTTGGAACTTCAGCTCCCAAAAAACAGGCCTCTACCCCTTTGGGTCCAAGAAGAACTCCTGTAATTAACTGTAGTAGTGGGTCCCTTACCCTCTCTGCTACCTAGTCACTACACAGCAACGTTACTCACTCAGTTATACATAATATAAAGCCAATACTTGCAACAGGGACACATCCTGTTTAAGCACATTTGGGGTCATCGTAAAGCAATTTAATTGGGCTTCCCATGTACAACATACAAGATTCCCTGTGCAGCCTTTACGTCCCCGACAGTTCTCTGCTTTGCCAGCAGGCTCTGTTACGAATCCAGAACTGCCGTTAGTGGAAGCAGTTCAGGGAGCAGTGGATGAAAGTTTCCTGTTAAAAAGAGAGAGTGAGGAACCTGTGATGCCCCAGATAGAGCCACGACATAGGGGGAAACATCCTGCTGCCAAAGGGCCTCAAGTTCGTCTCGCCACAGCATCCTCGGTTAGCAGAAGGCACCTCATCCTATCTAACACCACATCATGAGCAGTGAAAACCAAACTGGTGGATCCCTGTGATTCAGAGGTAGCCTGTGGCTGTTTGCTTGGCAGCATTACCAGCCCCTATAAGTCAGGGGTGGCCAACCTGTGGCTCCAGAGCCACATGCGGCTCTTCAGAGGTTAACATGCGGCTCCTTATATAGGCACTGACTCTGGGCCTGGAGCTACAGGTGCCAACTTTCCAATGTGCCAGAGGGTGCTCACTGCTCAACCCCTGGCTCTGCCACATGCTCTCACTCCTCCTCCTCCCCCTCCCTCCCAGATCCTCCTGTATGCCACGAAACAGCTGATCAGAAGGTGCGGGGAGGGAGGGGGAGGCGCTGATTGGCAGGGCTGCCGGTGGGCAGGAGGCCTGGGAGCGGGGGGTGAGGAGCTGATAGGGGCGGGAGGCTGCTGATGTATTACTGTGGCTCTTTGGCAATGTACATTGGTAAATTCTGGCTCCTTCTCAGGCTCAGGGTTGGCCACCCCTGCAATAAATGGATAATTATCCCCACAGAGGTGATGCTTTTTAGCCAATTCTGAGATTGCATCTGATTATTCAGGCTCCTTTTGTTTGGGGAATTCTTTGTTCCAGATTATTTCCACTCAGCTCTTAGCCCTGGAATCTGAAGCCCTCTCTGAATAACACACACTGAACTAACCTAAATTCACACACACACACCCATGTTACTCCATCAGCCTTAATGGAATTACACCAGGAACAAAATTCTTCTGGAGAAGAAAAAGATGTTTTCAAAACATGCCCCAACAATACAATCTACTTGAAAAGGAAACACTCTGCTTTACAGTCAACATTTCCAGGAACCGCAGCCTAGCACTGCTGAGCTATATTTCAACTACTGTTCTTATCATGTCAAGATTAAATGCAGGTTGTTTAAAATCTTCCTTTAAGGTGTGGGTCACGCTGATAACCTGTTGTTGGGCTTGGCTGATGAAGTAGCATGGAAAGAAACTAGCTTTTTAAATATCAGAGGGGTAGCCGTGTTAGTCTGGATCTGTAAAAAGCAACAGAGTCCTGTGGCACCTTTAAGACTAACAGATGTATTGGAGCATAAGTTTTCGTGGATGAATACGTCTGACGAAGTGGGTATTCACCCACGAAAGCTTATGCTCCAATACATCTGCTAGCTTTTTAAAGGTTGCCCTGCCAGCCTTGTTTAATTTAGATAAGTTATCACACAGCAGCAGCCCCTCTACAAGACATTTTTAGCTTAATTAATTTCTATCCCTTGTCCTGAGGGAATGGATTTGAGTTTGACACTGTTGCAGTGCTAGAGAGAGAGCCACCCACCTCCTTGTTCTGGGGCTAAGTAAGCAAGTCTGAATAATTCTCTGGACTCCCTGTCAAGACACATTTCAGTGAACATCTGTCACTTCCCATCTCAGGAGGTATCTAACTCTCCCATCTTGGGACGTCACTTATTGAGGTTTTAGTTTGTAAGGCTTGGTCTACACTGGGGGTGATCGATCTAAGTTACGCAACTTCAGCTATATGAATAACGTAGCTTAAGTCGACGTATTTAGACCTACTCACCGGGATGTCTTCACTGTGGTGAGTCGACTGCTGCCGCTCCTGTCGACTCTGCCTGCGCCTCTTGTGGCGGTGGAGTACAGGAATTGACGGGAGAGCGCTTGGGGGTCGATTTATTGCATCTAGACTAGATGCTATAAATCGACCCCCGCTGGATCGATTGCTGCCCGCCAATCCGGCGGGTAGTGTAGACATACCCTAAGAAACATCACTACCCTTCCCAGTGCAGGGCTGCATTGCACAGCCATTCAAAAATGCAAAATATTTAAATGATCCAATACAATAGTGTAGCTCCTGCTTACACAGTGTGGCTTTCTAGCCCGCTCTAGTAGTTGGATCTGAGAGGTTTGTAAGTCTGCAACCTCAGAAGTGGCTTCTAGTCCCCTTAGCTCAGGAACTAAAACAGTGATTCTCAACCTGAGGCCCACAGGCCACTTGCAGCCCAATCAGCATGGAGCTGTGGCCCACGTGACATCCTCAGGGCCATACAGGTTGTATTGGATGCGGCACACAAAACATTATGGGTTGCATATATGGCCCACAATTGTAAATAGGTTGAGAACTACTGGACTAGAAGCTCGTGCTTTTAGATCCAGAGGTTCCACAGATTCAATGCCTAATGCCAATTACTAATCCAAGTGTTACAATAGCTTGTTACAATGTAGCCCAATATATTCCAACACTTTCTTCCCTTGACAGGCCATGTTATTTACAAGAATCGTAAATGTTTTACTTACTTGTTAAGAATATTACAAATGAAACAAGCGCCAAACTGACAATCAAAATAATGATCAGTGTGACGAAGAACAAATGTTGGCAACTTATGCTGCTCCATGTCATCAAACCGCCAGTGTTCTCTTCTTCCTGGGCTGCTATGGAACGAAAATAATATTCCGATATGAAATTGATGGGAGGTTATTAAGAAAACAAATAACAAAATGCCTCTGGTTCTAAGCAGAGACAAGCCAGAATAAACCCAAACTTTGAGAATGTTCAGAGCCAAGTCCAACCTTTCTGACTTGGATCCATCTCTGTTTCTAAGCAGGATACAGGCACCATGTTATTAATAACTTTAGCTGTCTCCTGTTAAATTGCAATCCTTTTCCAGAAAGGAGATATGTAAAAATGGCAGTGCTTACTTAAAAGATCCACTTTCTTTATGTATTCAAAGTTATAGTGGCTCACCTTAGTGACAACAAATATTTTGCTGCTTTTCACTCCTGATAACCACAGGAACCATACAGCTAAGAAAGTGTGAGCAACATTCCTTTCCAAATTGTGAATCATCAATTGTCTGGCTAGCTAACTTCCCGTCAGTTACACCTGTGCAACTCTGCTGATAGCAATGGGCCTGCATAGGCTGAAAGCCTAATTTAGCCTGCAGAACCCTTATGTCTTGCAGTGTAACATGAGAAAGGAAGAATCCAGTTTTACTTTCCCAGGTTTAGGCTGAATGGGCAGGGCTGGAAGTTAGACTATATTAGAGCTTGTTGGGACATTTTCTTTAAATATATTGTTTCACTGAAATGGAAACATTTTGTAGAGACGTATGGAGTTTAGTGAAGTTTTTGCTTGCCAGGTTTACAAGGTCCAGGTTGGACTCTCCTGGCACTTCCAGGAAAACAGAGAGAACGGGACATGCAAATAGAAAACTGACATTTTGGGGATCTGCAAATGGCCTTTTGTTCCAACACAATTCCATTTTGTGAAAACATTTGGAATGTTTTGGTTTGTTCCTATGCAGAATTAAAACAATTTTTGAGACCTCAAAAGTTGTCATGAAATGGAATTGTCTTGTCCAGCCAAATCTAGTATATATAAACTGAGCACATTTGGCATGGCAGTGAAAGGTATGCCCACTTGCCACTCCTCCTGCAGATGCAAGAAGGGGGACTAAAGGACAACCAGTTAGCCACTCCTTCCCTGAAATTTGTGGGGCAAACCAGCTTGCTGCTCTTTAGAAACTTTGGTCGGTGAAAGGACAGGTCCCTCATAAAAATATAACGGCTAAGTGTGGGGTGGATATGGGCCTAGAGGTAGGGAAGATAGTGGGAACCAGGGTTTGAATCCTCTTCAGAATTCCTGAACACAACGGAGAGTTTTGTGTGAACCTTAGTTTTCCATTTGGGCAGCATTTGCCCTAGGAAACCTTTTGGGGAAGTTCTGTGGCCTGTGTTATACACGAGGTCAGACTAGATCAGTGGTGGGCAACCTGCAGCCCGCAGCCCATCAGGGTAATCTGTTGGTGGGCCACAAGACAGTTTGTTTCCATTGACCAAATGCAGACACAACTGCCCGCAGCTCCCAGTGGCCATAGTTCGCCATTCCCGGCCAACGGGAGCTGTGGGAAGCGGCGGCCAGCATGTCCCTGTGGCCCACGCCACTTCCCACAGCTCCCATTGGCCGGGAACAGCGAACCACAGCCACTGGGAGCTGCGGGCAGCTTGCCTGCAGATGGTCAATGTAAACAAACTGTCTCGTGGCCCGCCAGCAGATTACCCTGATGGGCTGCATGTGGCCCATGGGTTGCAGGTTACCCACCACTGGACTAGATGATCACAATGGTTCCTTCTGGCCTTGGAATCTATGACTCTCAGTCTAAAATCCCAGTCTGGAAAGAGAATGGATGTGCATCTCTGCTCATAGAGAGCTGAAGGCTAGAGGCTTGAGACTGGAGCAGGCAGTCCTTGAGCAGACCACATTGGGGAGGTTAAAGATGGGGTTACACTGAAGCTGACACAGAAATCACAGTTTCATATAATTATCAACTATGAAAAATGTATTTCCAAGTTTCCATTGATGTTTTGTTGAATCTGGTAAGACTCTTGAAGGGCATTGCAATTAAGCTGATGGCGATAAAGAAGAAAAAGGATTGTATATGCCATAACAGAACTTTGATGATGAGTAAACCCATGGTTTGGGAGTTCACTGAACTAGTCAGAGATCCCTGGGAGTATTTTTGCTATCCTTTATTGCATTTAATGTGTTCCTGCCTGGAGATAAAGTAAAGCCTGCAGCCTTTTAATATTTTTTTTTATCATGCCCTCAGCCTTCATAACAAATACAATTTGTACTAAATGCCACCACCACAGATATTGCTTCATAGCCAGAATAATAATGATGGAGGAGCTGCTTTCACAGTCTCTCAAGCATTGCAAGCTATGAATAGAATTCTCATAAATGCCACTTGTCTGCTCTGCCTAATGAACGCTTCTTACTAGCCAACTGACCAAATGTGCCAGCTTACGCTATTGTAAGTAACCAGTGAACAAGGATTCCTGCCAAGCTGCAAACAATGAGAACATTTTATGTTGTGAAGCAAAAAGTAATTGGTGTGGAGCGCCTACCAAAATTAGAAGCCCTTTCTTTTTAAAACTACTTTAAAATTATGGCTAATGTGTTGCCTTAGGTTTGGTTATGTCAGATCATATTAAGCTACTGAGCTAAAGGAATGCCATGGGTACTGCATCACAAGCACTGTTGAAACGTCTTTTTTTTTTAAAACCCAGATCTGGCATTTTCTGTAGAAAATGGTAGCACTGTCCCATGTATTTTTAATGATTACCAGAAGGTGAAAAATGCTCACACAATTCAAGGATAGGGGTGGAAGCAGTAGATGTGGTATAGCTTGACTTGAGTATGGCTTTTGATGCCATCTCACAGGACTTTTTCATAGACAAACTAGAGAAATATAGCCCAGATGAAGCTACTATAAGGTGGGTGCACAAGATGTGGACAAATTGGAGAAAGTCCAGAGGAGAGCAATAAAAAGGATTAAAGGTCTAGAAAACATGACCTTTGAGGAAAGATTGAAAAAACTGGAGAAGAGAAGACTGAAGGGGAGCGTATGTAAAAGGTTGTTATAAAAGGGAGGGTGATAAATTGTTCTCCTTAACCACTGAGGACGGAGCTTAAACTGCAGCAAGGGAAATTTAGGTTGACATTACGAAAAAAATCCTGATTGTAAGGGTAGTAGAACAAATTACCTAAGGAGGTTGTGGAATCTTCATCATTGGAGGTTTTTACTAACAGGTTAGACAAACACCTGTCAGGGAGGTCTAGATAATACTGAATTCTGCCTCAGCACAGGGGACTGGACTAGATGACCTATTGAGGTTCCTTCCAGTCCTATGATTCTGTGATCTTAATAGTTCTGTAACAAAGAGATCCAGAATATAACACATTTCTTGGTACAGCAGCTGAGGATTGTAAATAGTGCAGTCTCTTGGAATATATTCTACTGGTGTGAGAGCAATCAGATACTTATATAAAACTCCAAGCATTAAAGAAACATCTAAAATATGTCAGAGAGAGAGCCAAATTGGTGTACAAACTATACATAGCACTGCTTTCATTTTCTGCTGAAATGCAGCCACCTGTAGGTAACTGTTTAACAGCACCAAGAGTACTGTATAACAATTTAGTCCAGAAGTGAAGAATAACAATTAGATGGAGACTCTAGGTAGGCAAAAGAGAAATGATCTCATGCTAGAACTGATTCATTCTGTGCCATTTCTTGTTCTTGTTAAAATGAGAATCGCCTACATAAGACAATACTATGGCAGATTTCTATAATTTTCAATATGGGATCTTGGTGTCTGGCAGCTGCACCACTATAGTAATTAACATCAGAAAAATATTCAACCCCTGGGCTAAGATGTTGATGTCTTTCTAACTCCTCTTGCACCAAAGCTCAAGTGTCACCTATACCATTTCTCCCAGTATTATTCATACATGTATAAAATCAAGCAAGGTGGTGGTTGAGTGGCTATCTGCATTTTTGTCCTATTTGAAGCCTAGTTGATTATGATTCTTCCTGTACAGCTACTCTTCAGCCAAATTTCAAAAGTACAAATTGTGCTGCTAAACTGAGGAGAAAACTACAGAATACTGTACCTCCTTAAATAACATAATGTGGAACGCTGCCAAGAAACTGCCACTTATAAAGTGCTTTCAGATCACAAGAGTCAAACACATCTCGAATATTGTTGGCTAAAAATAGTCTTGTTGCCATGTGTAAGTCAAAGAAAAAGTGCATAAAAGCAATAAAATCAGGAGGATAGTACAATTCTGAATCTGTTTGAAATAAGTTCCCTCAATTAAGATCTAAAGAAGGTTCATCGAATACCTCAGGAAACTGGCTGGGATCATCAGATGATAGTCATTCCTTAAAACCAAAAACAGGATCACAATTTTAGTTGCCGTTTTTTTTTTCCTTTTAAGCTTTTATGTGTATTTTAGTAATTGTGAAAATTGCCAAACAGAAGAGAGAGGTCATCATTTTTATTCCCAGAATGGATACATATTGGGAATGATGGTACAGGCTTACTACAATGTCCCACCCGTGTGCCTCAGACATGACGTGAAGGGCCCAGCTAGTAGTGGAAGGGTAGCTCAGTTTCCACAGAAAATATTTAGTTGTGGACGCTGCCAAGAAGAATCTGGTACTGGCAACTGTCACAGACAGGTTACTGGAGTAGTTATACCACTGGTCCTATGTGTTCAGTGCACATGATTCCAGTTGTGCCGGTCATTTTTGTCATAGCTATCTCTTATCAGAATTCAATTTCCTTTAAATGCCTGAGTTGAAGTGCACTTATTAAGCCAGATCCTTAGCTGTTGTAAATTGACATAGTGCTGTTGACATCAGTGGAAATACATCATTTGGATTTACACCATCTGGGAATCTGGCCCATTTTGTTAAAACATGTAGTGCATGTATTTATATGGTAAATAAATCCCAGGATAAGCATTAGTTTAAATTATCAAATACATCTGTACATTAGTTTCTTCTTTTTTTTTGACCCGGTGTATATTGAGAATAGTTGCCAAGCATTATCTGGCATACATACTTAACAGGTGTTGAGATCCATCGGAACATAGATGTAGTTTGTTTAGATTGTTTAAGGAATCAACCACATAAAGTTTTCCTTCTTCATTGGTATCAAGTAAGTCAATTTCCAGAGAAGAACTCTCCATTGTACCTAAAAGAAAACATGGATATTGGAAATAACGACTACTGTTAAGGGGCCTGATCCTGTGAGATGCTGAGCTCCCTTAACTCTCACTAAAATCAGTGGGAGTTGAGGATGATTAGGTCTTTGTAGGAGATATTCAGAACCTTTCAGGATAGGACCAATATGAGTTGTGAGCAACTCACTAGTTAACATTTCTAGTTTATTGTTTGAGATCCCCAAGTGTGAAAGTTCATCGCCACATCGGAATATTGTAGTACACTGTTCCACCCTTCTAGCTCCTGCATTGATTCAGGTGTAAATTATTACTTATTTGTATAACATCCAAAGCCTGGAAGGTACTTTACAGACCAATAACACAGGGTAAAATCGTGGACCCATTGAAGTCAATGGCAAAAGTCCCTAGTCTCTCCCCTGATCATCTCACAATCTAAGTACTGGGATATGAGATAAGTAAAAACGAAGGGAGCAGGTAGAGGAGTGAAGGAGAAGGGTTACAATGACAAGCTTATTAATTTGCTTATAAATACTGATACATCACTGTGGCTTGTTTTTTCTTGGTTAAACAAATGATTGGGGTCGGGGTGGTCAGCAAAAAGTTATAGCTTGCCATAATTGCTCTTCTTTCTTTACTTTAGATTTGGTTGACACACAGGACCTACTTTGAAAAGGGTCTGGGCTGGTAGCATAGGCCTGTGCCCTTCCAAAGAAGGTGAGACAATTCTTGAAGAAAACACAGACTATTTCCATGCCTTAAGGTAATTGTTCTGGTATTCTCTGATATTCGGCTTAACTTTGGATAGATCTACACTGCATTTAAAAACCCACGGCTGGCCTGTGCCAGTTGACTCAGGTTAAGGGGCTCTTTAATTGCTGTGTGGACATTTTGGCTCAAGCTGGAGCCTGGGCTCTAGGGCCCAGTGTGGGGGGAGGGTCCCAAAGCTTGTGCTGCAAACATTATGTATTTATCTGAACACTATGTGCCTGAGTCAGCTGGCATGGGCCAGCCATGGGTTTCTAATGGCAGTGTAGACATACCCTAACACCTCATCTTTGCCATGGGCTTGGCTCTCAATGAGTACAAGTCCCTTGGAAGTGTTAGAAATTTACATTCACAAATTAACAAAATGACATTTAGAAATCACATCCTATGTATATAGATTGGATTACTTCTTATCAATTTTCAAACACCCAGAGGTGTGAGGCTCCAGCTCTATCTCTGCTAATAAGGAATTTGAAACTGCAGCTACCAGGCCCAAAAGAGACTGCTAGACTAACTGTGGGCTGTCCCGATGGTTTCTCTGCATCTGGGATAGAAAGCCCCATTGCTTGGAAAATGTGAATCACATGTGTTTTAACAAATACACAGAGTTATGGAGAAAGATATTTGTAGAGGGAGTAGAGCTGGCCAGAGTCACCCAGGCATACAAGCTTTTATCAGGCCTTTACCATACCGAAGCCCATAAAAGTCTACTCAACATTACCATTTATGCTGGTAATCTTTCAGCACTGGCACCCACGCTTCTCTGGGTAAAGTTCAAAAGTACATTTTCTCTAGGCACATGGGACCTTTTCCAGCTCCCTCATTCTTGACTCAGTTACCAAACCCAACTGGCAAGTTTCCTGACTCACCCTTTCCATAGTATGACATCATGAAGAGCAGGTTCCCTCTGTACCAACATTTTAATAAGTGCCATGGGGAAAACTGGGGCTGTTTCCTGTCAGGCACGCACAGGAGCAGATACTCAGAGCATCATGCCAACCCACGCTGCTCTACGTCACTCCCAAAGTTGGGGACACAGCCAAATAACTACTCATTGATTTTCAGTGAAACTTAGGCTCCTAACTAGTTCAGGTGCTTTTGAAAAGGGGACTAGCACTCTTAAGGGAAAAGAAGACTGATGGCTCTGTAAATACCTGGACAGAAAGAGTAAAGTCTTTATTCAATTGAGGGGAAATCACATGAAAATGAGTACAGCTCCTTTTTCTTTTTTCATTCTGAGCAGTTACTGAAAAAATACAAAAATAAGGTGAAAAAGCTAGAATTGCAACCAATCAACTCAATCCAGTAGCTTTTATATATGCAACAGTAATTTCAGGACAGATGGCTTCTATGCACTAGAATGTATAAGGTAACAACTTCTAGTAGCTATATATTTATGGTCTTTGATATCTCCATATGACCACATTCATGCCCAGCTGTATTTCTTACAGACACAGTTATGCAGTGTTCTACAGATTCACCACCTCTCACAAACAAGGGCCTCTTGCTATTTTTAGCTTCAGAAGGGCAGTTGTTTTCCCTGAACATTTTCCATTTTGTTTAGACTTCCTTGCAACAACTTTAAGGAAGACTCTCCTAAAGACTTGAGCTCTAATAAATGTAAGTAACTGATTTGATAGTTTTAGATACATGGTAAATTCACAAGTTGTAGATTTTTGTAATTAAGTATTTAGAAGCAATTTCCCCACTGTACACTCACTTTCTGTACATAAAAACAGCATGCTATGAATGATGTTTTATGATTTATTTCTACATCAGCACCTTGAAAGAAACAAGATATCAGCGTCACTGGCCTCCTAACTATTAATTAGTTTCACAAGGCTAAACTAACCCTCATAGCTTTTAAATTAGTCATTGTAATTTGTATTTTAATATTGCTTAGAGGCCACCCCCTCATAAGCGTTAAAATATCATAACTTAATACTTTTAAATGCAAGTTATTTTGGGTAATGTTACCACTTTGTAAACTAAATACCTAAAAATTCTTAAAGAATAAAATCAAGACTAAATGGATTAGCAAAAGAAGAGAATGAACTGTAAATTACTTACAATTTAACAATATTCAGCTAAAAATTCAGGATGGAAGAAGTCATCCAGTACCAAGTATGAGAAGAAAACTTGCTTTGTAGTTTCCCCCCTCACTTTTAGACCCTGTAAACTTCCACAGGACCCATAAACATAGCTATGAAACCGACTATCCCTTTCAATCTATATTTAGCGTTCACTTTGGCCAAGAAGTCTAGTTTCCAAATATTGACCTATTCAAAACAAACACACACACACCACACTTATTAGACAAGAGTCACTATGAAATTTTAATATTTACTGCTATTATGGTGAGTTTTTAACATATGCTTTTGACATGTATCATTTTACTAATATTTTACATTGAGTGACTTTTTTAAAACAGGCTTGATAAACTAATCAAACCAATATTCTAGTTAATGAAATATTTAGACACATCCTAAGATACACAAACTACATCCCTTTAATTTATCTTCATAATAAAGTGTGATTTTTAAAGTACTCCATACAAAGGACTCTAACAGATTTTTCTGATGTATTGGTTAAGAATATGCACAAATACTTGCAATGCAAATTTCCATTTTTCCAGTTAACATTACAGAAGGCTGTATGTATTTAAGGATTGCCACACAAGTTGGTTGATGCCAATACAAAACCAAATAGGCTCAGATAGTTGATCTATGGAGCAGTCCCATATTTCTAATACCATTATATGTTAGTCTGCGTTTTAACAGTGTGAAATTTAGGTCATGTCAAGTGCCTAAACCATGTAATCATTTCTGTAAATGAGGCATGACAAATACTAAAAGTCAGTCCTGTGGCACCTTTGAGACGAACAGAAGTATTGGGAGCATAAGCTTTCGTGGGTAAGAACCTCACTTCTTGCATCTTAAGGAGGAAGGTTCTTACCCACG